TTCTTCTTTCAATCTGTACAACAACTGGACCATTTAAATTAATTGTTTCCCACATCTGGACCTAAAATGTATTTGTTTTGAAAATGATGAGATGTTATATATAAATGAAAAAAGTACCAATCTTCGTGCTTAATTATTTTCCTTTCATCTGAAACAATGATGTTGCTATAGGCATTATTGTTTTGCGTCACTGTAAATATCTTGAAAAAGCAATACCATCTTTTAAAAAGACATTACATTTTCAACAATGATGTCAGAAGCAATGGAAACTATGACAATCATTTTATTTTGAACTAATTTTTGGACATTTCTTTGGCTACCTGGACTTTTGCTTCACCTTTGCTTTCAGGCTGACACCCCCCAAAATCAGACCATGTTCATAAAATGGATTTGGCCTCAGCCTCCTCTGTTTGCTTTCCCAGTGAAAACACGTGTCTGTGAATGGAAGGCATGGGATATGAAACTTTACGACCTATCAGCCATTTTTTTCTTTTTTTTTTTGAGACAAAGTCTCACTCTGTTGCCCAGGTTAGAGTGCCGTGGCGTCAGCCTAGCTCACAGCAACCTCAAACTCCTGGGATCAAGCGATCCTGCTACCTCAGCCTCCCGAGTAGCTGGGACTACAGGCATGCGCCACCATGCCCGGCTAATTTTTTCCATATATTTTTAGTTGTCCAGCTAATTTCTTTCTATTTTTAGTAGAGACAGGGTCTCGCTCTTGCTCAGGCTGGTCTCAAACTCCTGACCTCGAGTGATTTTCCTGCCTAGGCCTCCCAGAGTGCTAAGATCACAGGCATGAGCCACTGTGCCTGGCCTATCAGCCATGTTTTATAGCTTTGGGTTCAATCGTAGTTGTTGCATAAATACAGGCTCATGCTGTTATGTTTTTGAGACATATTATATATTTGTCTCCGTTTGATTTAAACCATGTACCCTAAACAATGATAAATACATTTTGGGTGATCAATAAATATCAACCAGAGCTTCTTTTTTGTGAACACCCTAGAAATATAATAAATAAGATAATCTATAATCCTGAAGGATGAAAATTTGGGGGATCAAGACGAGTTACTGTAATAAGTGCTATGTTCATATTTCATGCCATGTCCTCATAACTCTTGGCAACAGCTGGTAATTAGAGGCACTCTTCTCCAGTCAGTTATTATCCAGCGTTGACAGTCGACCCTTACTTATATTTATTGCCAAGGGATTTAACAAATAGGTTCACCAAACGGAGTAGGAAGCTCTACAAAGGAAAGGAAGTATCTCAGGTTCTGGAGTTACATGGCTCAGTCTCACGTGAATCCAATGGCTGGTTTATGGCAGTGGCAAAGTTCCTAATGCTCGTGTCTCAATATTGCCATCTACCGCTCACTCCACGTTCAAATGTCTGACTCCATAGCCACAGGCTGCAGACACTTCCTCTGAGTGAGAAACATATTCCTGAGCCTTGGGTAATGATCAACCCTAGCAGAATTAAAAGGTAATCACTTGCACTTCGGGAGCCGCGGGGCAAAGGCAATGGGGGACCTGTCGTCAGTGTGAACAATTAGGCAATAATTATATTTTACTGAATTTCACAAATTAGAAAATGTATTGGCTTATGGATTTTTTGTATGTTTTGTTTTCTGCTGTATCCCCAGTATTTAGAACAGTGCCTGACACATAGCAGTTGCTCAATAAATATTAATATTTAGGAATTAAGTGAATACCTAAAGAAAAAGCATGATTATTCTCATGAATTCACCACACTATTTATTTAATGACTTCAATAAAAGGAATTATTGTGTCTTTTTTTCTAGTAAATAATAATACCCCTATCTAGAATTGGCAGAGAGAAAAATGAATGAAAATGATAGGAAAATGGGAGGAAAGAGGGATTTCTTGATGATTTTAACCAGAAACATGATAAAAATATGGATGAGAAAAGAAATATATATGATATGGAAAACTTACTAACAATAGCCCATTCTGCAAATAAATTTGCATTCATTCCTTTTTATTTTACCAAAAATTCAAAAAAAGTAAAAAGTGTATTTTTAAAATGATATATTTCACTTTTTAGTAAGCAGACATTCTAGCTTTCCCACTCATTTATATATTATCTATGATATGAACATTTGTTTTATACTAGTATTTGACACAGACATTGAAAAAGAATATTGATCTAGTTTCAACAAATTTGGAACAAGATGTTGTTTGCTGAAAAAATAATTCCACTTGTCAAGAGTGGAGCTGGGTTTCGAGGAAAATATCTTTTTTTAAAGGGCCACCTTCATCTTTTAGTCCCACAGTGCTAATATCCAGATCTACATGTGTTGGGAAAGTTCTCCATGGGTCCCTGGTGTTCTACACATCTTTACCAGTATGTCAAGAACGAGAGACCCTGACTCCTCTTCATCTGGATCGTTTCTCAGTGTTGGATCTGCTATTAACAACCTTTAGGGTTGAGGTCATGTCTCCCTCAGAGACAAAGTCCAGGCTTGCTTACTGTTTGCTATCAAACAGCAGATTTCTCAAGCTTAGGGTTTTTCTTCTGAATGCCACCGGCTGCAGGTGCAGACATCCATCCTGGCCCATCCACATCACCCTTGTGGGAACTGGGGCTGAGGAAGCTGATGTGGCATCTAGCTACAGCTTTCCCCATAATAAAGCCTTTCAACTGCGACCCAGAAGCCATGTGTCTTGTGTTAGCATCCATGAAACTGTAATAAGTTAGCCTGAAAGTAGGGTAAAAGCTCAGACCCCTCACAGTTCTTGGGAGCCTTTTTTTATTTAAGAATGGAAGGGTTCACAACTGAGAAACTCCAGTGCACTCAAGGCACAACAAAGTGAATTTTCAAAAGGAAAATTCAGTGCTTTGGAAACAAGTAAGTGATGTAAATTGAAAATAACCCATTCACTAGTATAAACAGAATTTTTAGATTAGAAAAAAAATTTAAGGGATTTTGAAATTATATTAATTTTTAAAATCCAGTGCTTTATTTAAACTAGGGTTATTTACGAGGGGTATGCCAAAGATTGGGTAAAGTGGTGAGATTTTGTAAAATTTGGAAATAATACAATATAAATCAAAAAGAAAAATATCATTTATAAGTCATAAGAGGAATTTCCTTTTTAAATTTGAATGGATTTACCCACTACATAATTTCATAATTTATTGCTTCTTAATATTATAATATAGTGAAGAATTCATTTCAAGAGTCATGATTAAACTTCTACTTTCCAAACTTCAGTTTCTATTTTTGCTGAGGTAAAAGTGCCCATCATCTTTCACACTGAATTCTTAGATTTGGAGTTTGAAATTATTTCCTTCATGCTTTGAAAAGAAGAAAGAATTCAAACACCTTTCTGAGTGTCACTTAGCTTAGAAAATGCTATCCTATGGATAAATTCTAACTGAGCTTATTATAATCTGAATAGTTAGTATGCCATGGCATTCAAATGATGAAACAGGGAATCCAAAAATCAGAAGTCTTTGGGGTAAACAAACATGAATTTTCTTCCAAGATCTGGCCTGAATTACTGTATGAATTTGAGAAAAAAGGAACCACTCTGTTTTTCTTCTCTTTTTATTTTTATTTTTACTTTTGCAAGAGATATTCCTCAAGGCCCAGGAATAATGTTGGAAGAAAAGTCTCCCTGGCAAAGTACCAAATAATGGAGCAGTGAAAGCAAGAGTAAGAAAATGAGAATGAAAGAAACTCTACATTTTGGAAGATTATAAACTACAGGGTTTGTGCTAGAAGCATTGTTTTATAGCAACGTGTTCCATAACTGTTTTTCTTAGAAACAGTATTAACTGACTTGCATGATGACCTACTCGTTTTGTAGAATGAACTTGTCAAGTAAATTTAAAAGTCTTTTTATTCAAAAAGAAAATGGCTGAAAATTAACTAGCATCTAACATCTAATTAGTTCAATAGCTCCAGTAATATGCTATATCCGTTTCTTCTCTTAAAACAGAGAAATCCCAAACAACAAATAATTTAACAGTAAATATTACTTTATCTTTTTTTTACAATAATTCTAGCACCTCTATTTTGGAATCTTACCATTCATCCTTTTCAAAAAGTTTCTTATTAGTAAAGAAGTTCAAAATTAAGTCACTATTTTGATATATACCAGGACATTGTAGTCGGAGTGTTGATGTGATGTTAAGTCACAATGTACCTAACTTCCAGGGGTTTCCCCATTCATGTCCTGTCACAGTGTCCATTTTTAAGAACATCAGTAAAATTTAAAGTATTAAGCAATTCCAATAAGGCGGGTTGAAGGTGCATATTGTATTGAGAAGAGGGAAAAAATTTTCAAATAAGATCAACAGCCTCATATACTGAGCGCTACTCAAGTGATGTGAACAGGTGAGCATTACCACTCAATGGGAACCACCTGCTACAATCAATATTTAATGAACCAACAAGGAGAAGCAGAGCACTTCCTGAACTCAAGAAGCCCTGGAGATGGTCCAAAGCGAGATTTCCCTTATGCTGACTTAAAAGGAAAGACCAAGGCAGAGCAATCAGGCTCAGACACTGTTTGTAGCCTATGGTTTGCATGCAGAAGCCTTGCAATATTCATGTATTTTTACCTGATAAATGAAGGAGGATTTACAAAAAGAACAAAGGCCTTTCGATAAAAATGTTAAGGTTTTATAAAACTTTGATACATTTATAATTCTCTTCCTCTGTGAGAAATACTACAATGTAGGCACAACAGTTCCCCCCAAAGAGACCAAAGGCAATTAATAAAACTTAATAATACCCTCATTAGATTTTTTTAAGTAACCCTGTACACATGAAAGCATAGAGTCTGTTCCTTTTGAGAAACAAATAATGGCCACAGTAGGAATATATTTTAAAGGATTTTCTTTGCTGCTATCAGTTTTGAAATTCTACATGGAGTTTTGACGTCTGTGATGTGCTCCAGCCTGTTGAAGTCATGGGTCTCCTACTGGTCTGCCTGATTACCTACAATTATCAACTTGACCTCGCACTGACCTTGTTAGCACTGTTAAAAAAATCATTCGCCTTTTTTAACCAGGTATGCCTTTCCACCATGAGTTGACCAAATTCTTTCTGAAGCCGATTCAGTTTCTGGTTAGAGAGTTGCAGATGTTCTTTCTCCACATGATCCTTTGACAGCAAGATTCCCAGTGCCTCACTCTTCAGCTTCTCAATGGCAGGGTTCCATTCCTACAAGAGATGGTTCCTTTAGTTTATTTTACACATCTCCCCCGTATGGACTGAATGTTTGTGTCCCCCTCAAATTCCCACGTTGAAATCTAACCCCCAATGTGATGGTATTAGGGGGTAATACCCTAATACCTTTAGGTAATACCCTAATACCCTAATACGCCTTCGAGAGGTGATCAGCGCCCTTATAATCACATGGGATTCATGCCCTTGTAAAACAGGCCCGGGAGAGCTGCTCGCGCCTTTGACCATGTGAGGACACAACGAGAAGTTAGCAGCCTGCAACTCAGAAGAGAGCCCTTACCGCAGCCCAACCATGCTGACTCCTCACCTACAGAACAGTGAGAAATAAATTTCTATTGTTTATAAGCTGCCCAGTCTGTGTTACTCTGTTATAGAAGCTTGAACTAAGACACCCTCCTTTGTAATCTCTGATAAGATTCAGAGAACATTTAGATGGATGGGTTGAATGTAGCAGAAATCTGTCAGATTTTCAAATCATGAAAGTATAATAAATACTGTAGTAGTAAATGCTACACTACAGGTTTGAGTACCAAGACGTTTACATAATAGGCAAAGATGAAGAAAAGAAAAGAAAAGAAAGAAAGAAAGAAAAAAGAAAAGAAAGAAAGAAAGAACAGAAAAGAGAAAAAGGAGAGAAGGTAACAGAAGAAAGAGGTAGGGAGTTGGGATGAGTGACTGATAGAGCACCCAGCTGACCCAAACACAGGTCATTTCCATTTCTGTTAACTCTACCTGGAAACACACCTCAAATACAGTCAATGGTGTTTTTAAATCTCTAACTCATTTTATCCTCTTTTTAATCACATAAGTATAAAAAAGTATCTCTCCCACAATTCAGCCTCATGGTCAGTGTAGGCAAATGTGTATAAGAAAAGGAAGAGAAATCGTATGTATCATGAATGTTGTTTTGTGTCTGCCTACACTTAGAACTGAAATTAAGTCCCATTACAAAATTAATAGCTGTTATTGTTTAGTATTTCCTCCTTCCTGACCTCAGTTCTGCCTCTCAAGGGGCTTCACTCTTAATGGTATACAAACATTTCAGAAAATGAAAAGGGGTAGTCTTTTACTTAATGTTCATGAGGATGAAAAAACATAAGTAGAGAAGAAAGAAAATAAGAATTGGAGTAAGGCAAACATATTAACATTCAATTTATTTGAAGGGAAATTCAGTTTTCTTACCAAAGGACTGAAGCCTGATCCAGTGTCATAAAATAACGGTTATCTCTAACATGGCTGTCTTGTTAATGAATCTTCTGGTACCCATCTCAACTGAGATTGAATGATAGCATAGGCTATTTGTCAGAGCATGGGAAATTTAGCACCAGATTTTAAACATCTCAGTCTGACTTCATCCTGCTTTGTTCCCTCAGTGCAAAGTGTCCCATTGTTAAGTTACATTTATTATATTACATTGTATAAAATAAGTACAATTTTAGTGCAATTTACCATTACTGTTTCCATTCATTCATTTCACAAGACACACTAAACACTATGTACCTGGAACTATGCTAGGAAAGATGTCTTGGGGAATATAAAGAAAGAATAAATTGTAGTTCTTTCCCTTAACAACACATAAACTGTTATTTTATATAACTTTCATATATACTTACTTTATGAAATATATGAAATAAACGCTGGTTCTATAAACATGCATACAAAGACAATATGGGTATTAAAGGGGGAAATTGTACATATTATTTTGTGGTGCTCATAGAACCCATTCTAGTATTTGCACAAGAGAAAAATATTTTGATCAATGGTTACAGGAGTAAGGAAGGTAGATTAAAGGATTTGGCTTGTTTGGAGTACCTGTTATAAAATTGTGGGTTGTAACTATAATCCTCAAAAACACTTAAATTAGATATTATTTTTTTCAATATTTACATAGGATCAGAAGAGTATGTTACACATCCAATAAGCGACAGTACCAGAACTACTAGTTCAAAGGTCTGCATACATTGTACCTTCCAGAAAATTAAAAATAAACTCCAAAATCGTCAAATTCTTCAGTGAGTGCAAAAGCAGTACTCTTAGGCAGGGATACACGCTATGTGCGTTCTTAAGATCCCTCATTTCAAAAACAGCTTAAGGGTCTCCCTTTAAGGAAAACTAATATGTGCCATGATATTCTTTCATAAAGCACTGTAACCCCTCCTTCCCCCCCATGCTTAAAAACAATTACTTTAACTTCTTGGGAATAGCAAATATTTCTAAAACAGCACAATTTCTGACACTTACAATAGGCACTCACTAAATGTTAGTCCCACTTTTCTTCCCATCAGTTTTGTTATGGTTCATTAGCACCCCAAAATTTCTTCTTCACTCATGCCATTTCTGTTTCCCAGTTTTAAAATAATGGTAGCGAAATGTTTCCCAAAATGTTATTGATTAACATTATGTATTGGTCAGTATTATGAAGTAAACAAAGTAAAACAGGTTTCTTTACTACAGTACTTCTCAGAATTTTTAATTTGTTAGTGTGCATTGAGCCTCTTCTAGAGGGAAATGTGACATGAAATATTTTGGACAAAACTTTTTGACGAAAAAATTGTTTGTTAATCATCTCAGAGGACCCATGCTCCAGCTGCAATAAAGTTGTTAAAAACCATTCTGTGTCTAAGGGCAGCGGAATCACCTACTGGGTTCACCTGCTTTCACAAGTCTTTGTTTCTTTCCTGTTTTATTTTTCCCTATTCCTCTAGCTACTCAATTAGTCCACTTCCTCTATTTGTACCATTCTTTCTTCTTCTGTCTGTTAAGATCTGCGTGTCATTAATCTTCAATGAACTCAGGTGGGAAAATGCTTAACATGTAAAGACACAGAATAAACCAGGTAATTATTTCTTAAAAAAATTGGCATTGGCCAGAACCTTCTATGCTTATTGGGGGAAAACCAGCTAACATATATAGAGAACCTGGTGGGGGTGGAAGGTGGGGGAGGGAGGGCTAGAAAGATAGGGGCAAAGAAGATGTGGAAGAAGTTAGAACATAGAGAAATGGGTTGCAGCCATTGTGTACTCAGCTTGACAACAATAAGTTCTAGGACGTATTGTTCAAGACAGTAAGGGTAGATTTTTCTTTCTGTATGTTAGCGCTGTGCTAAATGCTTTTCATGTGTTATTTCATCTCATCTTCACCATACCCCTGTGAGGTAGGAACTATTATTATCTTAATTTTACAGACAGAGTAACCGGAATTCAGAAGGATTACTAACTTGCCCAAGGTCTCAGCATTAGTAAGCGAAGGAGCTAGAATTCAAACTCAGGGAGTTGGACTCTAGAGCCTACTCTCTTCACCAGTACCCCAGCCCCAGCTATTTGTAGAGTGACATACTGTTTTTCCCATCAGCGAAAGATTGACCACATTAGTTTAGGTAAAACTTCCATATGCCCGAAATAAGGCCTTGGAGAGGACAGAAGTTTTATATGACCCTGGGATTTCTGATTTGAAATCCGAAGCCTAACAATTTTAAAATAAACACAATGCTATTACAGGTATAATTGAAAATTTACAGCCCAAACTCAGACTTATTTTGCTTAGCCATTGGACAAAAATAATGAAGCACTTTTCTATGACTAAGAAGAGAATTACCTGTTCTCTAACAATGTTCATAAATCTGCCTTTAGTATAAATTTTACAAACAACATTAAACAGAGACTTTTGGAGCAGAGCCAAGCCTTTGAAAACCCACTTTAACCCTGGGCTTCGCATCATGCTATGAAAAGTGGGCTGTGACTTTCCAGAGAAGCTGTAAAGGACCATTTTGTGCCTCTTATCTTTTTTTTTATTCTCCATCCGCAGTCTTCTTAATTACATTTTCACATGAACTCTGTGGGTAGTAAATGAAGCTGGGTCCATTCAATATTTCTATTCAATCTTCTCAGAAAATTGGTTCTGTTTTCTTTGGGCGATCTATAGGCAGTTTCTGATGCATTTCTATACCATTCTGATGATGTACTTCCCCAGCCCTTTTCATAGGGGATGCTTTCACTATTTTATTTTTGAGATAAAACTTTTCAGAGTCATCTGAATCCATCACACTATTTAAAAAATATAGTTGTCATCCTTGTCAAGGCTAGAGGAGCCCAATGGAGAAAATCTTGGTCCATTTTCTTCAAGCTGGTGCTGCCCGCCTGCTAAGTGTTAAACCTCTAACAGGGTTTCAGTCACTTGGCAATAAAATATTTCCAGTACTTGTCCCCACCAGCAGAAAGCCAAAGCCTGCCATTTCCTTGGCTTTTCGATTTGACAGAGACGTGTGCATATCTCTGACCCAGCGAAGTCGTGGGGCGCTGTGTGTTCCTGGGCTCAGGGGGTCTCCACAGGTCGCTCCATTATTTTCATTTTTCACTCACAGTAGGAACCTTTCTAACTGCACCTTTCAGTATTCCATTTGCTGAGGAAATTGAGCTTCTCTTGGATCCCTTGATTGAAAGGGTACTTTAAAGAGGATTAGTGCTGATAGACAAGAAGGTGGAAAAGATTTCTTTCCTTTTTTGTTTTTTTCAGTCCCAGGTTAGCTCTTCATATGAAGTTATAGATTGGCATAAAAATTATCCAGCAAGTAGATTCAAAAAGCAAAACGTTAGCTACTCCAATTGAAAGGAAAAAAAAATAATAATCACAGTATATTAGCAAGCTTTTATCCACATAACCACTTCCTTGTACATGAGGGGATTTAATGATCCAACACCATGTAGTAAATTTCCATGATGAGCTTGACTTCAGAATGTAATTTTTAGGTAGAAGAAAGATGGACAAGAAACAATAGCGGATGCATCTGTAAACTACTAAAAAATATCAGTGGTGGAGATTACTGACCAAAATCAGATCTGGCATAAGCATGTGTTGGGTTTATGTATAGTCTCTGAAGCATGGCTAATTCCTAGGCCATCTCATTAGACACAGCCCATTTCTTACTTAATCCCTAAATCTACAATCCCATTTGGTTCAGCACAAGGAGAATTAACTCA